AGCGGCAGCTTCTTCTCCCGGATCAGCACCGCATACGGGTCGGCCACCTTGGCCCCCATCTCCTCTCGGAACGCCTCCAGCTGCTTCTGCCCAATCACGCGCGTGTTGCCAAACCAGCGGCGGTCGGGCTGGATGCGGGTGCTGGGCAGCTCCTTGGACTGGAACTCGCGAGAGATGATGCGCCCCTTCTTGTCCCGCTTGGCGCGGCTCTTGTACATCTCCAGGCGCCGCACCTGCAGGACCGGGGCGGGGCAGGGTCGCGGGGCAGGGGCGGGAAGATGTAGCTATGTGTGTGTGCGCCCGCAGCCAACACCGCACGTGCCGCTGCCACAGGCAGCCCCCCATGGCAGCCCCCACGTGCCGTGGACGCGTCGCGCAGGCCATTCTTGCTCTGCTTGTTGGCGCGGTTGGCATCGCCCGAGTGCTTGGGCTTGCGGGTGTCCTTGGGAGCCTTGTCGCGCTTGGCTTTCACCATGGCAGCCCCAGCTGCTGCTCGCACAAGCCTGCGGGCGGGCGGCAGGCAGGAGCGGCGGTGGTGGCGGCTCTGACAAGGAGGTGGCATGCTGCCGTGGCGAATGGCCACAGGCTGCCTTCGGCATGCAGCAGGGCCTGGCCAGTCCCCCCAGGGCACGCCGCGAGTTGCGGCATGGAATGCAAGCGGACTGAGCGTGGGATGTAGCCCCTGCGGCTGTTTGCAGGTATGTGTATAACCTGCCGGAAGTCCGAGATGCACCGCTAGGAGCAGGGGGTGGCCTCCAGGAGCCGGCCGGGGTACTGAACAGGGGGTGGGCGGCTCAGCAGCAAGCCAGGCGTGCATGCATGTGCAGTTGACAGCACCTCAAGCCCGCCCTATTGTCGGGAGGCCTCAATTTCTCATCCCCAGGGAATGGCGGCGCGCCAACTCAGCAGTTTTTCGCGCTCAACGAAATGGGCGATCGGGGCTCTTCATCTGTTCCTGCGATTAGTGTGCTTGGATTGGCGCGGGCCTGTGCGCCCGGGATGGACACCCACGAGCAAGTGATTGCAGCGGTCAGGGCGCTGTACCACGCCCCAGACCTGGCCCAGAAAGCGCAGGCCAACCAGTGGCTGACTTCCTTCCAGCACAGCGAGGAGGCTTGGCAGGTCCCCTTTGGCCTGCTGACTCCCGCGCAGCCGGACGAGGTGCAGTTCTTTGCGGCCACCCTGCTAGTGCGAAAGGTCAAGAGCGAGTGGTCCAAGCTAGATGCCGGGAACCGGCAGGGCCTCAACCAGGCCATCAGGTGGGCGGCGGCGGCAGCGGCAGCGGCAGATGTGTTGTGCAGGTTGTCGCCTGGCCTCTCGTCCTGCGGTCTCCTCTGCATTGCAATGGCCTGCCTTCATTCAAACGCCACTGGCAGCACCCGGCGAGGCAGCCGGTGACTCGCCCCGCCGGCCTCCCTGCCGCCGCCTGCTCCGTCCCTGCGCTGCCTGCAGGTCCACGTTCCAGCAGGCGCTGGGCTGGCAACGGGTGGGCGAGCTGGTGCTGAGGCAGCTGTGCGCGCTGCTGGCGGCGGTGTCGGGGGCGTCGGGGGGCGAGGGGGCCAGCGAGTTGACCACGCAGGCGCTGGGCCTGCTGGCCGGCAGCCCCCCGCTGGCGCTGCTCCTGCTCACCGCGCTGGCCCAGGAGGCGGAGGGGCTGGACCGCGTGCGGCGCCTGGCGCTGGTCAACGTGCTGATGCCCAGGGCCAGGGAGCTGCTGGGCGCGCTGGGGGAGCTGCTGGCGGCAGCCGCCCAGCAGCTGCAGCAGGGAGACCCAGGTGGGCTGTGCCCGCTGGTGGTGCCAATGGCCTGGCCTGCACGTGCGACCTACCTGAGTGCGTGACGAGGCAGCCCGGCCGGGACGCCCACCCCCGGCCCACGCAAGCCCACGCTGGTGCAGGCCCCGTGGCGGCGGCGGTAGCGGCGCTGCGCTGCGGCGAGGCGTGGCTGGAGCTGAGCCCCATGGCGGGCACCGGCTGCTGCTTCACGCCCGCGGAGCTGCACCAGCAGCAGCCTGCGCTGTTTGGCACGGCGCTGGCGCTGCTGGCGGGGGGCGGCGGCAGCGACGAGCTCACAGAGGCGGCGGTGCAGCTGCTGCTGCTGCTGTTTGGGCCAGACAGCTTTTCGTCGGACGAGGGCGCAGACCTGGCTGCCACCGCGGCGCTGGCACGCGCTCTGCTGTCGTGCCGGGCGCGGCTGGCGGAGCCGGGGTGCAGCGACACGCTGCCGGCGGGCGTGGCGAAGCTGGCGGCGGCGGCGGCGGAGCGCTCCCCAGACTTTGTGTGCGGCCAGATGCCGGAGGTGGGCGCCTGTGCCGGGTGCAGGGTGGTGGCACCTGTGCCGGGTGCAGGGTGGTGGCGCAGTGCTGGGTGGTGGCGCAGTGCTGGGTGCAGGGTGCTGGCGCTGGCGCTGCGCGGCTGCCCCATGGATGCCACGAGAGTCTTGCAGCGGGGTGGGTGGGCATTGCACGGCCAGCGCTGCTGCCGCTACCTGGTCCCACTCCTGCTGCCCTGCTCCCCTGCTGCCCCACCCAGGCGGTGGCGCTGTCTGAGCTGGTGCTGGAGGTGCTGGCGCGGCCAGGGCCCAATCCCGACATGGCGGCGCACACAGTCGACTACTTCCTCATGGCAAACACCGGTGGGGGTGGGGCGGCGGGTGGCAGGCTGGGGTGTGGGGCAGCCGGGCACGCCAGCTGGGCCGCTGGCCGGGCGTGGCTGCGGGAGCCTGGCGCTCCTGCTGCTCACGCTGTGTGTGGGGCAGGCAGCCGCTGGCTGGCAGCCGCTGGCCTGTACCTGCCTGCCAGCATGGGCCCGCCCACCAGCCCTTCCTCCCTCCCCTCCCGTGCGTCGCGTGTGTGCAGTGCCGATGGTGGAGCGGCCGCCGCCACTGCGTGCGCCGCTGTACGAGGCGGTGGTGCGCGGGCTGGTGCCTCACGCCAGCTACCCGCCCGGCTTCACCAGCTGGGACGAGGAGGCGGAGCTGGATGAGGACGCCTTTGCCAGGCTCAGGTGGGCGCCACCCCCTTCTCTCTGCATCCTGCCCGCCTGCTGGCACCAGCTCAGCTGGGCCGCCAGCGGGAGGCTGCTGGCTGCCGGCTGCACGCAGCGGCAGAGGCAGGCGTGGCGCCCTGCCGTGCGCCCTGCCGCAAGCTGAGGCTGCCCCTGTGCCGCCAGCTGAGCGCGGCGCCCGCCCTGCCTCCCCTGCCCTGCCTCCCCCTGCTGTGGTGCAGGGAGCAGTACCTGCCTGAGCTGCTGGATGTGGCCTATGGCGTGCTGCGCATCGCCTACCTCACCCAGGCCTGGCAGCTGTTGCAGGGCGCCGCCAGCTGGCAGGCCGCGGAGGCAGCCCTCTTCCTCCTCACGGCCGTCAGCCTGAGCGTGAAGACGCGGGTCCTGTCAGACCTCACTAGCAGCAGCGGCGGCGGCGGCGGCGGCGGGGACGAGAACAGCGGCGGGGGCGTGCCCCCCGTGTCGCCGGCCGTGGCGGCCGACCGGCAGCAGACGTCGGCGCTGCTGTCGGCGCTGTTTGGGCAGGTGTGCTCGACGGAGGGGTGTGGGCGCATGCTGGGGGCGCACCCCATGTTGGCCGCCGCCACCTGCCGCCTGCTGGAGCGCTACTGCGCCTGGCTGGGGCGGGCGGGGGACGAGGCGCCGCTGCAGGGAGCCTTCCAGCTGCTGCTGGCAGCGCTGCCCATACCACAGGTGCGCCGCATGTGTGTGTGTGTGTGTGTGTGTGTGCCCCCAGGAGGCTGCCTTGCGACACCAGCACCTTGCAGGCCGCATACCTGCCGGCCCGCCCAGCCAGCCACCCTGAGCCGCACCCACCCCATGCTGTGCCATGCTGTGCTGTGCTGTGCTGTGCTGTGCAGGCCAGCCACGTGGCGGCGCAGGCCTTCCAGCAGCTCTGCCTGCGCTGCTCCTGGAAGCTTCGGGACGCCGCCTCCTTTGGGTGGCTGCTGGAGGCGGCGCATGGCGCCCTGCGGCGGGCGGGAAGCGGCCTGCCCATCGCCGACCAGCAGCTGGTGGTGGAGGGGCTGGCCAGGGTGGCGGCGGGGCTGCGCGGCACACAGCTGCTGGAGGCAGCAGCCCGGCTGACCGCCCCCTTCCTGCAGCAGGCGCAGCAGGCCGTGGCGGGGGGTGGCGGCGTCGGCGCGGCGCCCGACGCCGCCGCGCGGCGCGCCCTGGCAGACAGCCTGCGCCTGCTGGCGGCGGCGCTGCGCCACCTGGCGCCAGCTGGCGACGACCGCGGCGAGCTGGGCAGCCAGCCCGCGGCGCAGGTGCTGGCGCAGGCGGGGCCCACGCTGAGGCTGGTGGCCGAGTCGCCGGCGTGGCTGGCGGATAGGGAGGCGGTGGGCGCGGTGGTGGAGGTGTACCGCCGAGCCGTGGGCACCGCCAAGCAGCACGGAGCGCAGGTGCGGCGGCAGGGCGGGGCGGCACGGTGGGGCGGCCTGCACGCCTCTGCCCTGCACCCTCGGCGTGGGTGCCGCACGCTGCGTCACGGGCCACACGCGCCGCTGCCCCTGGCTGGCTGCTGCCCCTCCCTTGCCTCGCTGTCTGGCTCACCTGCCGCCCGCGCCCCCTGCCCCCGCGCCTGCCTGCCCGCCTGCCCGCCCGCCTGCCGCAGCTGGCCATGGCGGCGCTGCCGGCCATGTCCTCGCTGTTTGCCGCCACGGCGCTGCCCGGGTGCCTGGATGTGGTGGGCGAGGCGCTGGAACTGCAGTACGACCAGCCGGGGGTGCCGGCAGCGGCCCTGCAGGCATTGCTGGCGGCCTGCGACGCCGCGCTGCCCGCGCTGCAGGTGCGGGCGCCGCCTGCACGCCTGCGCCTGCACGCGGCTGAGGCTTGGGGCATGGTGGGCGGCCGCTGCCGGTGGGTCCGGGGTGCATTGCTGCCCGGCCTGGCTGGCACGCGCCCCCCCGGCATCGACCGGTCGCCCCCGCCTGCGCCCCCTCCCGCTGCTGCCTGCAGGGCGAGGGCCTGCGCCAGAGCCCGGCGCTGGTGTCTTCGCTGCTCTCGCTGGGGCACCAGTGCGCCGCCTACGCCCCCGCCGCCACGTGGCCCTCGCCTGCGCTGCCGCTGCTGCTGCAGCTGGCGGCGGCGGCGGTGGGCCTGCGGGAGGCCGACCCCGTGGCCCACGCCCTCGACTTTGTGGGGAGGCTGGTGAGGGGGGAGGCGGCGGTGGAGGAGGGCGTCAGCCAGGCGCACCTGGACGCGGCAAACGCGGCGCTGGCGGCGCAGGGCGAGGCGCTGGTGGCGGCCCTGCTGGCCGCAGAGTGCGACACCTGCCCCCGCCGCCTCATGCGCACCGCCGCCGACTGCATCCGACGCCTGCTCACCCACCCCGTGCTGGGCCAGCAGGCGGGCGGCTGGCTGGCGGCGGCCGCCGCCTCGGGCCGCCTGCCCGGCGTCTCCGGCGGCTACCTCACCGCCGACGACTGTGCCGTGTTTGCCAGCCTGGCGGCACGGCTGCGGGGCCCTCGCTTCCTGGCGCTGGTGCTGGACTTTGGGCTGCTGGCGCGGGGGCAGAACACGGCCGACGTGCTGCTGGCGTATGAGTTCTGACCGCCCCGCTCCCGCCGGCGCTGCCCCTACCACCGGCATCTGATGTAACCCGCACTTGCTTGTGTGGGCTTAAAGTCTGGTAAAGCAAGAACTAGCTTGCAACATAGACTCCCCGCCGAAACGGGACGGGAACCGGGCGAAAGCAGAGAAAGCAATAAAACAGGGGTGGAGCAAGGCGACATGCAACGCAAGCAGCTGACAGGGCACGCATCGAAACGTGTGTATGACTGGCAAAGTGGCATGGCGCATTGGGGAGAAACGCAACGGTACGGGAGCATGGGCTGGCCAAACGGCAGTGCGGAACGCTAGGTCACTAGAAAAGCAGGGAAAGGCGCACTATGTATGCAATGAGGGCAGCCCCGGCTCGGGGCCGTTGAGAAAGCAGTGGGCGGGAGGGGGGAGGCCCCGGTGTGGGCGGGCCCCATCGAGGGGGGATGGGGCGCGCAAGCGGCCAGATGGGGCGGGGCGCGGGCGGCAGTGGAGTCCTGCGGCTGGGTGGGATATAGGGCAATGAGCGTTGAGCAGTGTGCGATGAGCAATGAGCAATGAGCAGTGAGCAGCCCCTCCCTAAACAAAGTGAAGCGCAGGACGGGGTCCGGTGGATGGGAGGCAAGGAAACGCGGGGGGTTGCCACGTGCGCTACCGCCGCCGCCGCAGGCAGCACCCCTGCGGCGGCGGCAGCGGCAGCAAGCCGTGGACCCAAACGCCGTGCCGCCGCCGCCGCAGGCAGCACCCCTGCGACGGCGGCGGCAGCAAGCCGTGGACCGAAACTCCGTGCCGCCGAGTCCCGTGGCTGTGGCCGTGGGCTTCTGGCAGGAAACTACGGCCGCAGCTCGGCAGCACGGGGGCGTCGCAGCGTGCCGCCGCCGCCGCGCTGCCCCCCGGGCACGGCGGCGGCGGCAGCAAGCTTGGGCCCAAACGCCGTGCCGCCGAGTCCCGTGGCTGCGACCGTAGACCGTGGGCCGGAAACTGCGGCCGCAGCTCGGCGGCACGTGGTTCTGGTCAAATCGCCAAGCGTGCAGCAGCGCCGAACCACGCTTCCCGGCCTCGGCGCATGCCTTCAGGGGCCCCCTATCGCTGGGCACACCCCTCCAACACCGAACATGCGCCCGGGGGGGAGGGCGGCCCGGGCGGCCCAGGCCAAAGTGGGCCGCCCTCGAGCAAGAGGCGGCCGGGCTGTGTGCTGAATGAATGAATGAATGAATGCACTCTGGCACAGCAGGCTCAACACCGTTTCTTTCAAACCTGGGTTGGACGGGGTGGCCCACCTAATTCAATGGAAAGGAAAACTCAGCAAGGAACGCACAGAGCACATAGTGCGAAAGACGGTGTGTCTAGGCCAGCTTGAGCACAACCGCCTCTGCCTTGAAGTTGGGGATGTTGTAGGTCATCACCACCCATGGATTGAGGCTGGAGTCCAGTGTGACGTCAAAGGAATTCGTCATGCAGACGCGCCTCGTCAGTCCAACCTCGGTGAGGACATGCACGTTGAAGGCCTTCCCGCCCACGACGTTCCAGGCGGGGGTGTCGTCGTGGCAGAGCAGGTAGTTCTCCCACGCTTTGTCAAGCCGATCCCCAAGCGGCACGTTGGCCACTGGCCACGCAGGGCCAGCAGCATTCCAAAAGGCATTGAAACTCCCCCAGCGCCAGGCGTCAGCTGCACGGGCTGCATGTATTGCCAGGTCGAGGCGTTGAGGCGCATCACTTTGACCACATGGCCGTGTCCAATGTCACGGATGCCCACAATGGGCTCGCCAGAGGGAAGGAAGCCCAGGGAGCCGCCATAGTACTCGCTGATGCCTTTAGGACCAAACAGCCGGTTGCCCACCACCTCCCAGGCGCCGGAGACAGAATTGAACCGCAGGCAGGTGGCCTTTGGCAAGATGTCCTCCCAGTTCACATTCTCCGGCGATTCCTGCATATGTGAGCTCGCTGCAAAGTTTGCAGCCCGCTTGAACAAAGCGCCAAGCCATCCTTCCAAGTGCGCAGCAGCGACAGCCTTACCTTGACCATGACGTAGGGCTCATATGGCTCAACAGGGGTCACAGCCAGTTCGATTTTTGTGGCGTGGCTGCCGCCGAAAATGTTAGACCCGTAGTTGCGCAGGCTGAGGTCGCCGTCTCCCAAGGTGGTCCATACCCCGTTCCGGTACTGTTTGACACGCAAATCTGCCGCCAAGTACCTGCAGGCGTAGGATGGATATGCCCTAGCTCTGCGTGAGCTGTCAAAACAATGGAGCGACACCAGCCAGCATATGCAATCTCACATGGTTCCATCCTTGCTGATGTGGAAGCTGTGATCCCTGGCACAGACTTCAAAATTGGCGTAGAACATAACGGCGCGAACGCAGGCATCTGGGTCTCCCACTGGCAGCCAGGAGCGGGAGGATGTGTCGAGCTTCACCACCCTGATCGGCCGCAGGCCACGAGAGGAGGTGGTGGCATTGACAACGGGCCCCTCGTTGTCCTGCAGGCGGGCACTCTGGGTGCTCCATTCACGCTGCAGGGTGCCTGATACGGTACCTGATCCCAGTCATTGCTGCTAACCTGGTAGGCGACATGCGGCACGCCCGCTGGGTCCAGCTCCACAATAGGCGCACATGCCTTGCCGCTGGTGATGAACCCTCCGCCTGCCAGCTCCCACTCTCCAGCAGCGTTGAGCGTGGCAACTCCCGGGCTGAAGTTCACACCGCCCACCATGGCACCATTCTCCTCGTGCAGCTCTTCGACCCTGGCAAAAGAAGCAAAGACCTGGCCTGAGGCCGTGACCCTGATGGTTTCCGTCTGCACATAGCCCCAGGGCAGCACGCTTCCAACCAGTGTCCACTGCATGGGACACATGAGCACGTTAGTATGCTGGTCTGAAGGCAGTACACATGGGGACACATGCACGCCCTCCACTGCACTTGCCGTGGGAGTGCAGCTGGCGTTGACGCACAAGCTGCCATCTGGGCAGCAAGCAGCATTGCACAGGGCTCGCTCTGCGCAATGGCACATGGCACAAGCGGGGGGGGGGGGGGGGGGGGGGGGGGTTTTTAAAAAAACCCTTTTCCCCCCGGGGGAAAA